ATCGCATTGTGGGAAATGCAAGGTGGTGGGGGGGTAATTTTTTTTTTTCGACCCTTCGGGCCCCAAATCGGTTTTCGGCGGATCCGAAGGGTGAGGGGATTTTTTTTCTGACCTTTGTNCCTGAGGGGAGAATTTTCAAGTCTCAATTTATGTCTTAAGAACTACACACCCTTTTAACCCTAATTATGATTGTAAAAAAAAATTTATATTTATTTTTATCGTTATTTTACATCCCTTCGACCCGGTTAGGATATACTGCGATGATGATCAAACTTTAAAATGGTTAGATCGCACCATTCTACTCGGCCGGGATTTGAACTCGAAACCTTTCGCATGTGAGGCAACTTACCTACTGCGCCAAGTGGACCGGTAAAAAAAATATATGGAAGATTCAAATACCAGTTGAAAAATTTCATCTAATGGCTCATTTTGGAAAATAGGTGCATGATCGCAGCGCCTAATTTGACCATAACCGCTTGTTTTAAGATGGAGTTATGCCGGGGGGGGGGAACCACTGACCCTTCCGATCGCACAGTTTATCTGGAAAATGCGGTGCACGGTTTTTTGGGCAGAGAATTTTCAACTTGTTCAAGTAGGAATATTGTAACCCTTCTGACTGAGGATTGAAGTGGTCATGATCCAGAGTCCGAAAAATTGTATAATATATCACGGAGATTGGGAGAAAATGGGACATTTTGTAATCTCTTTTATTTACCCTAGCGGAACTTGGCGAGAGCTGGACGAGAGATGGGGTGAGAGTCGTATATTTCCTTGGGAAGAGAATCAACGCGAGAGTCAGGCGAGAGCGGCAGCGAACAAGGGGGACTCTTGCCTGCTCTTGCCCGACTCTCGCCATTTGAAGCGGGACGAGAATGGAGCGAGACCCTTCATTGTACTATCGCTTGTGCTCTCGCCAATTTTAGATAGACGAGAGTGGGGCCAGAGTCTTCTCTGTATTATCGCCTCTGCTTTCGCCGTTTAGTGGAAGACGAGAGTGAGGCGATAGCCTATACTTTACTATCACCCATGCTCTCGTCATTTATAGAGAGACGAGAGTGACGCGATAGTCTCTAGTGTACTATCGCCTCTGCTCTCGCCATTTATAGGGAGACGAGAGTGAGGCGATAGCCTATACTTTACTATCACCCATGCTCTCGTCATTTATAGAGAGACGAGAGTGACGCGATAGTCTCTAGTGTACTATCGCCTCTGCTCTCGCCATTTATTAGGAGACGAGAGTGGGGCGATAGCCTTTAGTGTACTATCGCCTCTGCTCTCGCCATTTATTGGGAGACGAGAGTGAGGCGAGAGCCTTTACTGTACTATCGCACATGCTCTCCCCATTTATTAGGAAACGAGAGTGGGACGACAGCCTTTAGTGTACTATCACCTCTGCTTTCGCCATTCAGAAAGAGACGAGAGTCTTTACTATCCTATCGCCTCTGCTCTCGTCATTTTTAGGTTGACGAGAGTGGAGCGAGAGCATTGACTGCAATATTGCTTCTGCTCTCGCCGATTTTAGAAAGAGACGAGGGTCAAACAACTATCTTTACTGTTCTATTGCAAAGGTCACACCTGACCCTCGTGAACCTTAATTTTGACCTTGATCTGTACAAGTCAGGAATAGAAAATGAAGCTGAAAGTAAATAATCCAAGGACAATCTAAATTACCAGCACAATTTCAATGTCATGGAAGTAAATATTCAAGGGTCATAAGGGTCATAAATGTTTTTAATGAAAAAAAGTGTCTAAAACAATAGAAAATTGGACAAAACGTCCAGATTGGCAATAACATTTTTAGTTCATGAGTATGGTAACTCTATACTGTGCTATCGCCTTTGCTCTCGCCATTTATTGGGAGGCGAGAGAAAGGCGAGACCCTTTACTGTACTATCGCCTCTGCTCTCGCCATTCATAAAGAAACAAGAGTGAGGCGAGACCCTTTACTGCACTATCGCAAAGGTCACACTTGACAGTAGTGAACCTTCATTTTGACCGGGACCTGTAGGAGTCAGGAATAGAAAATGAAGATGAAGGTTGAAACTGAATCTAAAAAAGGATCTCAAGAACAAGTCAAATCTAAGGATCACTAAGGTCATAAGGGTCAAAATTTTTCGAAGTAAAAAATTAGTGTCTTAAACCATAGAAAAGTGCAAAAAACGTCTACATTTACAATAACATTTTTGTGCTTTTTCTTGTGCTATCGCCTCTGCTCTCGTCTCTTGGGAAGAGACGAGAGCGACGCGAGTCTTCACTGCACTATCATTCGTGTTCCCGTCATTCATAAGGAGAGGAGAGTGAGGCGAGAGCATTTACTTTATTATCACTCGTGCTCTCGCCATTTATAGACAGACGAGAGTGGAGCAAGAAACTTTATTCTACTATCACTTGAGCTCTCGCTATTTCTAGAGAGACGAGAGTGGAGCGAGTGGCGAGCCTTGGTGGTGCATGGTGATATCGCTCTTGCTTTCGTCATTTGGAGAGAGGCGAGTGGAACGAGAGCCTTCACGATGCTATCGCTTCACTCTGGTCATTTGGAGAGATGAGAGAAGGACGAGACCTTACAGCGTATTATCCCCAGCTCTTGCCATTAGGAGAAAGACGTGAGTGAAGCGGGACCTGTCACAGCATTCCTGCTCAGCCCTATTGCTTTCGATGGTTTGACAAGTCAATTGAGATTTAACCACCCTGAATAAATACACGATTGCCTTGAAGTCTGAGGTAATCTTCTACCATAAGACAAAAATGGATCTTCGCTCCATCTGAAGACGTGCAAACTTACCTCCATATCCGGTTTCTCTCAATGCTGTTCTCCATAAGTTTTTTAAATTGTCTACAATGCGTGATCGAGCAGACGCCATTCATGATTAATAATATTATTCGGGTTTTATTTACATCTTTACACTCAAAAGTACGTACATTAATGATCAAAAAAAAAAAAATTACATGCATATAACAACGAAAGGTAAACGATAATACAGTGGAGGGTCTCGCTTCACTCTCGTTGCTCTATAAATAACAAAAGCAGAAGCCATTGTACAGTAAAGGGTCTCGCTTCACTCTCATCTCTCTACGTATGGTGAGAAAATAGACGATGGTATAAGAAAGGGCTCCCTCACCCGCGTATATATGGGCAAATTCGCCAAATATTGGTATGGTTTCAAAATTTTAATTTCGTTGAGGCTTCACACATAGTTTTCTTATCATTCAAAAGACCTAAAAAAATTTTTTCAATTTTTTTTCACTTGTGTTACACTCACTACGTCAATTGTTCCGTTTCTTGAGTTTTTGACGAAATTTTTGGTTTTAGCAGACGTAATTGTTTTTTTTTTTAATTTTTTATGTATATTTCCGACGAAAATTTTCCGTTCTTTCAATTGAGCATAATTTCAGTTAGCTCACACCATCAGAAATGCCTTAAAAATGCAAAAAAAGATCAAAATCGCGCTTTGCACCCCTTCCACAACCTTGATTGCAGATTTTTTTTCTCCTTACTTAAAGTGACCCTTCTTATGAAACATACTAAAAAATCAAAGTGAGGCTCCGGTCTGTTCTATCCAAAATAATTTTTGAAATTTTGTTTTTCATCAATTTTTTAATTTTGACATTTTTTCATTTCAAAATTATAGAATTTTGAATTTTTCATTTCATGCTTATCCGTGAATGATTGAATTTTCAAGTGAAAAAATACAAAAATTGAAAAATTGTTAAAAATTTTTTTTCAAAAATTATTTTTGGATAGAACGGATCGGAGCCCCACATTGATTTTTTAGTATGTTTTGTAAAAAGGGTCACTTTGGGTGAGCAGAAAAAAAATCTGCAATCACGGTGGCGGAAGGAGGTAAAAAGTGCAAATTCGGTGTTTGTTTGTTTTTGAGGCATTTTCTGATCGTGTGAACTAATGGAAATCATGCTCAATCGAAAGAACGGAAAATTTCCGTCGAAAATACATATCAAAAAATGAAAAAAAAAAAACGGTTAACTCTGCTGAATCCAAAAATTTCCTCAAAACTCAAGAAACTGAAAAATTGAAGTAGTGAGTGTAACAAAAAAAAAAAGAAAATTTTTTTTCAGGTCTTTTGAATGACACGAAAACCATTTGTGAAGCCTCAACAAAATTAACATTTTGAAGGTACAAAACCATACCAATAGTTGGCGAATTAACCCGTATCTAAAAATGGCAGAGTAAAGAAGATAGTACAATGAATGCTCTTGCCTCACTCTCGTCTCTATAGATGGCGAGAGCAGAGGCGATAATGCACTAAAGGCTGTCGCCTCACTCTCGTCTCCCAATAATTGGCGAGAGCACGGGCGATAGTGCAGTGAAGACTCTCGCATCACTCTCGTCTCTTCCCAAAAGAGACAGCACAATATAGTATTGCCCCACTTAGGAACCAAAAATGTTATTGGCAATGTCGACGTTTTTTTGCACTTTCCTATTGTTTAAGACACTCTTTTCATTTTTAAAAAATTTGACCCTTATGACCCTAAAATATTTTTTTCCATGACCTTGAAATTGTAATAGTAATGTAGATTATCCTTAGATTTTTTACTTTCATCTTCATTCTCTATTCCTAAATTCGACAGGTCAAGGTCAAAATTGAGGGTCAGGAGGGTCAGATGTGATCTTTGCGATAGAACAGTAAAGGGTCTCGCCTCACTCTCGTTTCTCTAAAATCGGGGAGAGCAGAAGCAATAGTGCAGTCAATGCTCTCGCCCCACTCTTGTCAACCTAAAAATGACGAGAGCAGTGGCGATAGTATAGTAAGGGGTCACCCCTCACTCTCGTCTCTTCATAAATGGTGAGAGCACGGACGATAGAACAGTAAAGACCAAAGAGGATAGACCTGAGTAGAGGCCACGGACCGGGGGTTTGAGTGACGCCAAGTAAAGTTAGTTGGTACCCCACGGGAAAGGTGGCGTCCCGGTCGAATTGTCGGTGATAATTGTTCTCCAGCCTGTCTCCAAAAAGTATTTCTCAGAGATTGTGTAAGATGGCCCTACTGTCGAACTTCCCCCTCCCTACTACCTTGCTCGGTTGTTGTCTCGAATCCCCTCACCGCCCCATTTCCACTATCCGCTCGTCGGGCTACAAATCCACCTCTGTTAATACAATGAGTTATTTTAATGAGAAATAAATAAAATTCTCAAATGCGTTTCCCGAAATTCACTTCTTTTTACAATATTTTATATTTTCATATTATAACTGTAATCAAACGTGTATAGTTTATCTCTTTCCATACTTCACGATACAATAATTAATAAAAAATATAATTTCCATATTAGAAAAACATTCGACAAGAATAATTTCTTCTGGCGTGTTAACAATTNCGCCACTTGTATTGAAGATTATGCAACTCCATCGTGGCATATTTGTCAAGAATTATTCTATAGAAGAAGTTGAATAGATTTTTTTAAATGGAATTTCTTGGACATTAAGTTTATAAATTTTCCCCACTCATCTATTTTTTCCTGATAGTAAAAATGAAGGGAAGAAATGGGCAAATTCAGACTGAAGAATTTGTACATATAATAAAAATCGCAACAGAATGAGTTATATAGAAAAGTCAACATCTATAGACCTCTTTCTACAAACAAAAGATCTATTGAAAAAAAGCACGACAAAGCTATATAATCTTCTATTATAATCTATATAATCTTCATTTGGCAATAACTTCTTGCTGCTCATGATATGAGCTCTTCACATCAAACTGAATTTTCTAAATTTTAATAATTAAAAAAAGATTCATTCTATCCCTAACTCTTCGGGGTTGTATCAGTGCCTGCTATATCACTACGACAGCTTGGCGGTAATCGGGGCGGTAGGGAAATTGAGCAGTAAGGGGAAAGAGAACACAGGAGCTTGTAGAGGGGACGACTGGAACTACTGAAGCGACGTCTCGTGTCATCAGTAGAAAATATTTTTTGGTGACATTTGAGATTACNCATCCCTAACTCTTCGGGGTTCTATCAGTGCCTGCTATATCACTACGACAGCTTGGTGGTAATCGGGGTGGTAGGGGAATTGAGCAGTAAGGGGAAAGGGAACACAGGAGCTTGTAGAGGGGACGACTGGAACTACTGAAGCGACGTCTCGTGTCATCAGTAGAAAATATTTTTTGGTGACACTTGAGATTACCTTCCTCTATCATACCTTAATCGGTGAATGTGAGTCGGGTGCGTGGGTAACTCGGCAGTAGCAGTCCCGCTGTTACAGTAGCAAAGTCTTGGGAAGCTTTGTATAGACAATATATGGCTGTATCGCCTGAAGGAGAGCAGAGGGTGATACCTTTGATATTGAAAATCTCGGGGATGTTTCCCAAATCGTTGATTTCTGTGAAAAGAAGGTCTTTTCTTATGCCAATAGCTATGCCTCCCCCATCTTGCCCCTCCCGATCCTTTCTGATCAGGGTGAAGCCCGGAAGTTCGAATGGCATATCTGTTTTGAGGAAGGTTTCTGTGAGTAGAAGGATGTCTTATCCATGTATTATGTTTCTCAAGTCTCCTGTTTTATTTCTGACACTTTGGGCGTTCCATTGTAGGATTTTAATAGGAGGCGATGGGCTGGACCTATGTTGAGGATCCATTTTTGGTTCCATTGGGGGGCGTGGTAGACGAATTGTGTCATTTTGATAATTCAGATTTACAATGCAGTCGTTGATTTGGTTCATAATCTCTAAAACGCCAAGGGAAGCTACCACTGGTTGAGAGAAATGGGAGAGGATTGTGGAAATGAAAAGTTTCATTAGGTTTAGGATAGTGCGTAATGTTGTTTGTTCTGTGGCAGGTGGGAGAGGGGTGTTTGATTTGGGTGATTGAGGATTAAGATTGACGTATATCATGGCCATTGGGAGATCCTGATGTTGACGGAGAAGGTGATGTTGGGTATTCACTTGGGGTCGAGAATATATCTGGGTAGAAGGATGGGAGGGTTTAGGGGGGATGTGAGGTATTTGAATTGGGTTAGAGGGGAGAGATTGATATGCGGCTGAGGTATCATTTATTGTGGTCTGAGGTGAATGGGCGATGATGGGGTCATTGGGGTGGGGTGGAGTAGTCTTTGAGGGAGATCCATAGGTCTTCGGCAGTGTTATGGGCTGCCAAAAGTATACCCCTCCCTTTGGTTTGTCGTCGGAGGTAAAAATTTAGAAATAGGCAACTGTTGAAGTCGGACAAATTTGGAGTCGGAAAAATTTCGACGTTCAAAATTTGCAAGTTTCAACATTTTGAAGTTGGAAAATTTTCAGGCTAGAAAATTTTGAAGTTACAAAATGCTGCAGTAGGAAAATTTTGAAGTAAAAAAATTACAGTTGACAATTTTGAAATTAGAATTTTTTGAAGTTGGGAAATTTTGGAAGTTTAACAAAAATGGAGTTGGACAATTTTGAAGTTGGAAAACTTTGAAGTCAGACAATTTTGAAGCTGGAAAATTTTGAAGTTAGGCAATTTTTAAATTAGAGAATTTTGAAGTTGAAAACTTTTGAAGTTGAAAAAATGAAGTTGAAAAATTGAAGGCGAAAAGTATTGAAGTGGATCAAGTGCGAAGTTGCAATGGATTCATTTTAATAGAAATGAATATTCGAAAATTTACATTCTAATAATTTATAATCGAATAATTCGAAAACGGCTCAGACGATTGCGCTAGAATTTCACTCCAGTGTTGGTATTGGTAGTAAAACTCGGGAGAAGTTTCGGCGAGCCAATTAGACTGATCCCTGCAGTCTTCACGGAAATTTTCGAATGTAGATCTCTTCAAAATTCTTTGGAATTGTGATAGTGGACAAGTCGTTTCACAGCCAGGAATAGTCAGCTGAACAGATGTTTTTTTCAGAGGTGTGCCATTGTTGTACAACACCTAAATATAAAAACAAAATCAAATTATTCATAAAATATTGATTTCAAATCATCTAATTTTCGTCAAATGTCCACCAACCTTGACATAAAATTTATTCCGCATCTTGTGCAACTCCAATGTGACAAAACTGCCGTAATTAGGAATATGCTGGAAGTCATAAACCTGCAGAGCAGCTAGAAGTCCGGTTAGGTGAACGTCACTTCCCACGTACACAAATACTCTCCTTTGCTCATTACCCTTCACGTAATTGTCAACATTGTTCAAGAATTGTTTGATGTGGGTACCTCCAGTCAGGCGCTTCATACTATCCGAGTCGGTCAGGAGCTTATTCCCCAGAAGAACCAGATCCTTCAAAGGTCCATTTACAAATAGTT